GTCACGTTGCCTGATCAAATGGTGAGAGTTGCGAGATTCTCTTGCAGATTTTTCACAGCGATGGCAGGGATAAGGCAGGGAATAAGAACCAGGGCTCTTATATGTAGTTTTATGTTCTGAGCTAATGGAAAAGGTTAGTTTTTCAGGATCGAAAACAAGACTTCAATTTCGCGCTGTGAATGAATAATATCTGCTCGCGCTAGTTGTACGAGGAAGATTTTGCGTTTGTTCTGTGAAGAAAAGTTATGTAAGAGAACTCTTTACTCTGGCATCGAGTTAATTTGTGAGTTTCCCAAACAATGTATAATCATAACTAAACCCTGTTTCTGATAGTTTCTTATTGTTTCTGTTTGTTTGGCGAGTTTGCAAAAGTTTTTGAAAGGAAAGTCTGACGCGTACATTAAGTAGCTCATTTGCATAGTGCAGCGTGTGCACTTTCATTTAGGAAATTTCGGAAGCCATTTCCCCGCGCTACATCCGCAAAACTCCTCGCAGAATGTACGCGCGAGTGCCGCACATCATGGTGCAATTTGTTCTAAAAATAGAAAAATTGTCCCACATCATAGGGACAGCCCCAATACTAGAAATGGCGCGCGCTTACGGTCTCCGTCCCCGATTATGGCTCCTGTAAATACCTCATGAAAGTACTGCTCAATAACTTTCATGTGAATGGTCACACACTAGGGTTTCGTTCAAAGACTGGACTTAAACGCTAGAACCAACGTTTACAGCATTATAAACAGTACCACATGAAAGCACTGCTCAATAGATTTCATTTGAATGGTCGCATATCAGAGTTTCCTTCACAGACGGGAGAGGAAAGAACCTGATTAACTGACTTGTTTCGACTTTGAGTGTAAAAGAATTAAGATTTAGAAGCTTACGGTTCTAAAAGTGAAAAGCATGAAAAACAAAATTAGTTTCCCATTAAAAAGAGCCAGCTGTGCACAACACCTTCCTGCTTACAAAATATTCTCAAACGTACAAATAGCTAAAACAAAGCATGTTTCTCCTTAAGACAGCGACCTTTCTGAGCCAAACAACTAAAGTAACTGCAATAAAGGTACTCAAAATGGCGTTCTGATTGCGTAAACTAATCTAAACTACGAAGAAATAAGGGCGGAACCCAGTTTAGTTAATCCAGGCTAAGGTACCTCTGTATTTTGTGTGAGAAACGAAATCGTCTTTTTGCTTCGCTTAATACGGCGAAATTCACATAAAGCGGTAATTCCTTTCACCTGGTTTAGGTCGCCATCTTAGGCTGGAGAAGTGCAAGGCATTTTTTATGCTATGTACAACACAAAAGCGCGAAAGCATTACAAATTAAACGTTGAAACCATGCTACAAAAACGCCATAAAAACATACAACTTGCAGTAATGTTCAGAAATGCTTCATTTTATAAACTCGCATAAAAAAAAAACTCACTTTATGATTCAGGTTATGATCAAATGAATACACCACAATCTGTAAGACCAAACCGTGGTTGCGCAATTAAGATGAGATAGCTCGCACAGTAACTGCGCAATATAGTGGGTGGAAAATGTTGGCTTCGTACAACAAAGCATTGCGATAAATTAACACAACTAAAATCACTGCCGATAATTGCTTTTTTTTTCATACAAAGCGTGGAGCGGATTTTTCGGGAAGCTACTCTGTTAAACCAAAGCCTAATAGATCACTTTTTCAAGGTCGCATGCGAGTCCGCTTGGCTGAAACGAAACTTGCTCACATGAACCAATAATAATTTTTTGCCTATTCTATTAACGACAGATTTCTGAAAACGAAGAGAGCGTTTCTTTGAACAAACATATGTAAAAGAAAAGATTCATACACCTGATTTCCACAAAGCATAAATAATCACATAAAGCCCCGCTGATAAACGCCAACGGCGCTTCAACAACAACTACTAAAAATAGGTCCGCAATGCGTACTTGGGGTCCTATGCTTAGTTTTATTCCTTTCGGTTGGAATGCTGTTTTCAAATGTCAGTATCTGGGAGTTGAATTATTACAAATGAGAAGGTAGATATAACAAGTCGTTACGATTTTTAAGTGGGAAATGTATGGCAGAATACTGTTTATTTACTTACTTTATCCTCTAATGATAATTATCTATTTAGCTCTTAGCCTTAATGGGACATAATACAACAACAATTTCTCAATTTAGCCCTATTTTGTGCAATGTCCCATGTGAGTTTGAACTCTCTGAACTTGGCAATGTTTACTCATGTCAAGTGAACTTGTATATGTATTGTCAAGAGCTTTTGCTGCTGTAATGACTAAGCCTGTTTAAA